CTCGGAAGCAAATCTGAGGTCTGTCTACAGCCATGTGAATGAGTTTGGCAGCAGATACTTCCTAATTCAAACCCCGAGATGACTACAGCCCCAGACGATATCTTCACTGTAGCCTTGTGAGAAATTCTAAGCCAGAGGCATCCAGCTAAGCTGACTCAAATTCCTTACCTATGGAAATTGTGAGATGACGTTTATTATTTCAAACTAAATTTGCAAAATCTGCTACACAGAGGTAGGTAACTGATACAATTCCAAATCTCACTACCTATACCACTAGCAGCTCATCCAACCTCAATCACCTCCGGCCTAGTCAACTATACGAACAGCTTCCTAAGTGACTGGCCCACTTCCATAAGGCTTCCTTCCTCTATTCACAGAGATGCTTTAAAAATTTAAATCAGAGTCCTAAAGCCATCAGGTGGGGCTAAGCAAGGTAGGCATCCATTTGTGCTTGGCATGGGGATGGGGATGGCAGAGGAGGAGTGTGGCAGCAGCCCAGTAAGGTGTCAGTCTGCACGGGGAGAGCAGGGTGTCCACACAGGGAGGGAGGGTGGCAACCTGGTGTAGGTTGTTGGAGGTAAAGGAGGGTAAGGAGGGAGTCCAGTGGTGGGGAGATGGGAAGACAGCAATGGGAACTCAGTTACGTATAGTGGAATTCATCAAATAAGTAACTCTATTAAAATCAAAACAGATATAAATACGAAAAGGGAGAAAACCAGAATATAACCTGCGGTGTTGGACTGGATTCAGTGGCCTTGCTGTGGACTTACAGTTTTTAATATATAGAGAGAAAAAAAGATAAAAGAGATACAGAAATGTAGACACACACACACATATCCATACACATGAAATCATTAGAGGACTTTCCGAGCTTGTCCACTGAGGTGGCCTTGGAGCACTGACACCCCAAAGCAAGAAGCACATCTTGCACATGGATCTTAGCTTCTAAATACCACTCTCCACTGAAAAACAGCAAGCAAGACAAAAAAAAAAAAAAAAAAAAACCATAGGCCCCCTCAGAAAAATGGCTGTTTCCATGGGTGATCAGGGAAAATATAAGATGAACCTGGAATATCTTTTGTCAGAAAGCAAGAAAAGTGTTCCAAGAATGATGAGAACATTTCAAAAGGACTCCAGATGCAGATGAATGGGTTCCCACTGGTCAAACTGAGTTCAATTTGAGCAATAAAAGGACCGATTAGAGTAATGGTTTATAACCCACTAGTTGAAATAACAGTTCATACTGATAAAAATAAATAAAAGTTTGATAAGTAATTGGGTAGTTACATAACTCAAAGTATCTCCCACAAAATGCTAATTAATTGCAAAGGGAAAATGAATAACTTTAGAATGGAGATATCTGGCAGACACACCCTAATCAAGTGATAGAAGTTTTCAGTAATGAGACAAATCAAGATCAGATGCCATTTAATAGCGTGCAACAGGAAGAATCTGACATTGCTTCTGTGGCATTCTTGCCAAAGATGCACAGCCTGAATCTAGTCATGGGGAAACACTGGACAAACCCACAAGGAGGGACATTCTACAACAAAACTGGTCTGTAATTTTCCAAATTGTCAAGATCATAAAAATTGAGGAAAAACTGAGGAACCAATCCAGTGTGAAAGAGACTAGAGAAAAATGAGATCTACATGAAATGCAAGACTAAATTCTCTTGCTATAAAGGACATTATTAGGACAACTGATGAAACTTGAACAGGGTCTGAAGATTATACAGTAGCAGTGTATCATTATTAATTTCCTAACTGACGGCCATATTTTGGTTATGCAGGAGAATGCTGTTATTTATAGGAATTACACACTAAAGTGTTCAGTTGTGATATGACATTGTTTTGGCAATTTACTTTGAACTGATTCAAATACTTGCAACATTTCAGAAAATTTGGGATTGTTCCCAATTTTTGTTTTTAGATGTAAAACGGATCATATCCTACCTTACCTTCCAGTAACTTACAAATTGGAACTTTAGGAAAAAAGTCAAAGGATTTATCCACACCTTACAAGATCTACATGATCAATGCCTTAGCTGTTTCTCCTGCATCGTTTCCATTTTCTTCTCCTCACCCATTCCATTCCATTCCAGCCAAGCTGGCCATATTGCTATTCTTTGAGTACAAGCAATGCATTTCGAACACAAAGGGCTTTTGCACCTGTGGTTCCTGCTGCCTAGAGCTCCTCACTTCCCACCCCTCACCTTCCCCTTCAAATGTCACTTCCTCAAAGAAGCCTTCCCTGACCCCTGTATAAAACAGCCACCTGACCCTCCCATTACTCTTTACTCCTTTATGAGCGTCAACTTCCTTGCATTTATTGTTGCCTAAAATATATAACATATTTGTTTTTCTGCTTCCTCTCAAGAGAGCAAGGACTTTGTTTTACTCACTTGCCGTATCCCCAGTGCCCACAATAGTTCTTGGCACCTGGTAGGTACGCAACAGTTATTTGAATGAATAAAGATAACAAATTGTAATTCATTACTCTGTATGTAAGATAATACCTGGCTCTCTAACAAAAGATAAGTCAGTCCAACTTCAAATTTATTCATGGATCAAATCAAAGGTAACATTAGAATTCCACAATGTATTGCACTCAGCAAAGGGGGTTCTGAGAAACAAACAGCTGAACTTATCCAAACTATTTCTCCCTACAAAGACTCATCACAAGCTTCCCTTACAAACAAGGGTCATCAAAGGTACTCAGATCTTAGGAGGCTCCACTCCACAAAGAAACTCAGCTTTGTGTTCTCAACTGCCCTCAGGCACCTGCTAGGGTAATGTTATCTTTCACACATTTCAGCTTTTTCATGTGATCTCAGATGTTATATATAAAAGAACTTGCTTGGCCGACTAGTACTTTTATCATTTCAGATTTTTAAAATAAATTCAAATGTGTTTCATTCCACATAATTTAAATTAGTACCCCCTCCCAATCTCCCCCAACAGAGACCTTGAGCACCGATGTTAGATGGGTGCTTTGAAGATGGCCATCAATCTGAACAAGACAGCCTACACGCCTTCCACATCCTCCCCAAACCAACCCCACCTGAAAAAACAACCAAATAAAAACTAGAAGGACACCTCATCTCCTAAAGCAACACTCCACTTTGAGATCTTGGTCTCAAATAGTGCCCCTGACACATAGAACGATCCTTTAGAGAAGGCAAACCTAAAGTTCCAAACCTAAAATCATAGCTCCTTAAACTTTAACAGAACCACAGGTTACTATTTCCCATGAACCAGAGCACAGACATCCAGCCTCAAATGTAGCATCAGTGCTACTTTCTCATGTTAAGAGCCAGTGAGGTTTATTAGAGACATAAATCCAATATCGTGGTCTTCATACCACATCACTGACATGAGTCAATGCTCCTAACTATCCAAGTAGTGGACCAGAGGTTGAAAACTGGATATAGGTGAAATCTTAACAAACATATTTTATTTAGCTCACACGATATTTAAAAAAAAAAAAAACTATTCTGTCTAATCAAGTGGCCTCAATTTAAATGAAATAAATGCACTTCCTTAGTTGCATTAGCCACATTTCAAACATGTTCTGGGCCACGTGTGGCTAGTGGCTACCCTATTAGACAGCACAGCTATAGAATATTTCCATTTCCTGGATCGTGCTGTATTTAAATTGACAAATATCTTTAAAATAAACATTTAAAAAATAAGAACTCTCACAAAGAAATACAGATTTCCACTTTCTCTTAAAAAATCATCTAGAAACCCTTGGCTGAATTCTCACCTGATGGAACTGGACAGAGTGAATGCAGCTGCTGCCCTCTTTGACAAGAGTCGGTGCTTTTCAATTCATCATAGTCCCCAATACCCCCAACTGTCCCACATCTGCACTTCACTCACTTATGATACATGCCTGGATTTCTGAGTCTTTAGAATGAGTGAATACTCTGAGATTATCTCAGTTTCTACTCAATAGAGTTCAAAACTATTTCTGATGGCCAAATTCAACTAAAATAAAATATCACAGTTAACCTGCTGGTAATTTTTAGGGTTTTTTTCTGAAAATTTCTAGACCAACTTGTAAGGTATCTCTAGAGTTTAAATGTATAGCAACCAGCAACCTCTGAAATGAATGTAAGTACTTGGTTCTGAAGTATTTTACTCAAAATTTGGCAATTCAAGTAAGAGCATTTAAAATTTCATTTCAAAATAGGCATATTAAAAATCATAGTTTTTAGAGACCTAATGAACTTGGGGTCTCTCATTTTACAGATGAGAAATCCAAGCTCCAGAGAGGTTAATGAATTTGCTTAAAGTCAAACAGCCAAATAAGATTAGAGCCAGAGTTCTTTTTGCCTTTCTCTTCACTATGGCCAGGTGATACTGTAAGCATACTGTTTTTTCCTCAAAGACAGCCACACCATTATATATTCCAACGTATAATATGATGTTGACACGTCTCATCAAGGGACAGTCTATGCCTCTCCTGTTAAACACGGGCAGAGTTTTCTAATTGCCTTGACCAGTGGAATGCAGACTCGATACTAGATGATTTCCAAGACTAAGCTGGATGAGGCAACATGGTTAGCCTGGCACTCTCTCTCAGAGTATTTACCTGAGGAGGCTCAGGTTACCCCAGGGTATTCTAATCCAACACGCCAGCTATGCCCCCAGCTAACAGCCAGCATCAACTGCCAGACCCTGAGTGAACACACCCTCAGCTGATTCCAGTGTCCAGCCTTTGAATCTTCCACTTGAAGCCTTGGACATCCTGAAGCATAGATAAGTCATCCCTACTGTGTCTTGCCTGAACTCCTGACCCACAAAAACTATGAGACAAATACTTGTTGTTTTAAGCTAAGTTTTAGGGTCACTAGGCAAGCAGCCATCGTAACTGGGACAGATGCTTTCAGAAAACCACTGACTGTTTTAAGAATAAATAGACGTTCAACAAATATTTGTGTAATGAAACACATACTGCCAAGTCAAATAAAATAAAATGTTGACTTAGCTTACCATTCAGGGGGCACCATGCTTCCGTCCACATCCCAGAATGTGTTTTTGCCATTCATTTCAGTGGTATATATAACCCATCGGTGACGGCCTGGATGGAGAGATCAACGTCTACTTTAGAAAGATGTGAGGAAACAAAGACAACCTTTTAAAAAAAGCATAACTGCAAATATCAAAGAATACAACCTTTTTATTAAGAAAAGACTTCTTTGTGCTCTTACATAGAGAAATGTTATAGAACTAGAGGCCTGGGTATATTACTGAAGGCAAACTCCAGAGAGTATATGGCACACTTTTATCAACAGCCTGTATGGGGACTGAGGCTCCCTTTGTGGGTAGGGCTCAGCTCAGGCCTTTACCATAGGAGGACACTTGCTTCTCCCCCAGCTCCCCTGCCAAGAAAGTACTGGGAGGGAAGGAAAGGGGAATGTTCCCAGCCTTTCAGAGTATTCAGGAGAGACAGAGCTCCTCCTGAGACTGGAACAGGAGAAATGTATTCACAGCAATCATACTTGAATTATACGTTTCCATGTAAATATTGTAAAATAACCACCAGAGATCCTTTTGGAAACTGGTGATTATTACATAATAAGAAAAGATTATATATGATGGTAGATAAGTAGAACAGTTCATGCCATCAAAATACTATAGCTGCATTCTTTATTTAACAAATTTCTGTGAAATAGTTAAGACCTTGAGCACAATTTACAAAATTGTTTCTACTGGGTCTTTAAGTTAGGCAAAGACTAGATTCCAATGAAGACTGTCAAATATTACTACGGGATATTAGGCAAGTTTTATGAGCCTCAGTTTCTTTATCTAGTAAAAGTGGATGATTATATTTATATCTTAAAGTTGCTATGAAAATTAAGTATCACACATATACTTAGCTCAGTATCAGTCACGTAAATGCATAATAAGCATTAATTCCTCCCATCTCTTCCTCACTGCCCTCACCCCCTAATAGGGAATACTGAATTCATCCCTGTAATGGATTTCAAGCCAATAAGCAAAAAGTAATCTGCATTTCCTTTACAGAGTTTTCCTAGGTAAATATACAATCAACAAATATTGACTACTTAAATATGAATTTATTAAAGAAATATAGATTTCGATCAGGATTTGTTTCTTCTATTAGAGAAATCAATCCTGAGAATAAATAACTAAAAGTAAACTATAATTCTACAAGGCAGGTGAAAATGAAGGCAGATAGAGGAAACTTGGGAAAGGTTTCATAGTTAGGCCGTAACAACAGAGCTGGGCTTTAACAATCTCGCCATATATACATATATATATGAATTTTAAATGTGCATACTCAGACTCAACAATTCCACTTCCAGGAATTTACTCTTAGAATATTTAAACAAGTGAATGTGGATGTAATTACAAGCAAGTTCACTGCAGCATTGTTTCTAGTAGCAAAAAGTTGAAGGCTATGTATGTAAATGTCTATCAAAAGTAGAGTGTCTGACAGACTCACAGACATAGTAAACAAACTTATGGTTACCGGGCGGGAAAGGGGTAGGAAAGGATAAATTGGGAGTTTGAGATTTGCAAGTACTAACTACTATATATAAAATAGATAAACAACAAATTTCTTCTGTATAGCACAGGGAACTACATTCAATATCTTATAGTAACCTATAATGGAAAAGAGTATTTTTTATCTATGTATATGTATGACTGAAACATTATGCTGTACACCAGAAATTGACACACTATAAGCTGACTATACTTCAATTAAAAAAAAAAGTTGGTGTGCTTAAGCAAAAACAAAAAAAGGAGAATGTTTGAAAAAATTATAGTTCTTCCATACTGTGTTGCTATTAAAAAGAATGCTGTGAAAAAAAATGTTTTAAATAAGAAAACACAAACAAATGTTCAAACAAAAAAGAATGCTGTAGATACATCCAACTGGCTAATATGGAAAAATGGCCCACGATTTTTAAGTAAAGATATATCGATTTACAAACAGTATGCATTACATAATTCCTTGAAATAAAAAAAGAATGTTTATAATTCATTAAAGAATATTTAAAATATATTTTAAACTACTAAAAGAGGGGTAGAATTATGAGAGTTGGGAGCTTTCATTTTTCACTTCATACACTAAATTTTAATGTTTTTACAACATATATCTTTTTTTAAAGTTTTTTTGGGGGGTGAGATTAGGTTTGTTTGTTTGTTTGTTTACTTTTAGAGGAGGTTCTGGGGATTGAACCCAGGACTGCATGCATGCTAAGCATGCACTCTACCACTTGAGCTATACCCTTCCCCTCATACATCATTTTTTATATTGGCAAAAAGAAAGATATTTCCAACGTGAGGAAAGAAGGAAAGAAGAAAAAGAAGGGGAGAAAATGAAGAAAGCTTAATGTTATACTAGTTTGTAACAATAAAGTGGTAAGTAGAAAGAATATTGGCCCAGGGCTCTGCCACTACCTAGTTCTGTTACTTAATTAAGTTCCTTTCAGATAAGACATTTTCTTGGGCTTCAGTTTCTTTCTCTATAAAACAAGTTTTTAGATAATCTCTTAAAATCTCTCCCAGGTCTAAAACTCTATGATTTCTGTAGGTATTAAAAAAATATGGTTATAGAGTGTTAAGATATTATTTACCTCTTGTAAACAAACTTGCATCCAATGCAATCACACATGGACACATGGTTTACATATTTCCAAAAAATATTATTAAGCTCAATAACTCAGTTTCTTCATCAGTAAAATGGTGGCGGGGGGAATTAAGTGCCTATCTCCAAAAGATGTTAAATATGAGATAATGTATGTTACACGTGTTTAGCATGCACATAGCACTCATAGGTCATTATTATTTCACATTACACGTTTTTCCCCTGGATGAAGACTCCTTTGTTTCCCCTCTTGGATACTTTTAATCTCAATTGAAAGATTTTTTTTTATTATTATAAAAGTAACAAATGCACATGGTAAAAAAATTCAGCAGTTCAAGAAGGTAAC